TTGCAGAGATGGCATCATCAAACATCAAAGTAAAATCTTGCTCAATCTGCAGAATAGATGAAGTCATGTTGTTAAATCTCCTTAGCTCAATTTTAATAGTCACTTTTTTCTAACATACAAGTCAACTTTTACAAGTTACAATGAAGTAAATTGAACATACTAATCATTGTATGTCCAGGAATCTTGGGAAGGCCAGAAGGACATCAGAGGACTTCACTGGATCATGAATGATCTTTTGGCGATAGTTGAAGGTCTGCTTCATCTTTGTCATAACAATTCCTTCATCAGCTGTATGCTTCATCAATGCAATGGCCTCGGAACACAAGCTGTCTGTCATTAGGTGATTGTCCTCCCTCAAGTCTCTTTCAGCTGATGGGCCCCCTGTAACAGTGGATATGGATATGACAGTGTCCTAGGATTTAATAAACAATGCTTGGGAACTCTGCCATGATTCTCATGTATGCAGTTTGGTTACAGGTAACAATAACACATATTCATTTGTGTTCTTGACAGTCTCATGGCTTTCTTTTGTCCATCAGAAGCTTCCTTTTGGACAAACTTCAGTCTCCAAGCCAGATACCCATTCCCATCTTCTGCATTGTAAAAATGCTCCTAAAAAGGTGTTATTCAAAGTGAAATGAATTGTTATTTTGAACATGTTTGAATTAGCAGGATAAAATATCTTCACACTTAATCTTAAAACTGCAGCAGCTGAGCTGAACTTGCTCAACACTGGAGTGCTAAACTTGAAAGGGTTTTAAACTATCAGAGTTAAGGAAAAATGGCAGAGATGGTGGACGTGCATAAATGTTAACATCTTTAGTTTTCCTCAGACATAGCCATTGAAGCAGTTAAAAAAAAAAAATCTAGATGTACATCATGCCCAAAAACTGTCTTGAGTTTAGAAATGAAGAGTAAATAGGACTAATTGTTTTCTGTACTTACATAACCAAACTTGCTCCTTGGATCAGCCAGGTATGGGAACAAGTTGATGATCCCCTTTGCGTAGTCCTCTTTGACACGCCTTGGAGGACTTGTCCTACATAGATACACACAAACTATGAGCACTGTTGAAAGTATTGGAGTGTAAATGACACCTTCAGCAAACTAGGCATGGGTGGTGCATACAAAACATTAGTTGTGAATGAAATAATATTTCAGCATACCCATGTTCACTTGTCATATGCGCAACCAATATCTTGACCATGTCACGTCGTCTGCTATCTGTTAGGCTTTTTGTCCGAGCATACTCATTGATGATCCTCTCTCCGCCAGGTTTGTTCTTTAGAACATCTTCAATCATCTAGGTGACATTAAAAAATATTACACTACTATAAAATCAGATCAATGTAAACACTTAAATCTCCTCGTCTACGAGCACACAAGGCTTCTATGTAGAGCTGCAACAATTAATTAAACAATAAGTGATTATTAAATTAATCGTCAACCATTTTGATAATCGAATAATCGGTTTGAGTGGGGTTTTTTTAAAGAAAAAAAAAAGTCCAAATTCTCTGATTTCAGCTTCTTAAATGTGAATATTTCTGGTTTCTTTGTTTCTTTATGACAATGAACTCAATATCCCTTTGGTTTGTGGACAAAACAAGACATTTGAGGAAGTCATCTTGTGGTTTGGGAAACTCTGATTGACATTTTTTAACATTTTTTAACATTTTATTGACCAAACAACAAATCAATAAATTGTTTAAATGTATGTATTATGGTGTCATCAGAGACCCCTTCAATATCCTCACTGGAGCTGGTAAAGGAGCTGCTTGCAGGGGAACTCAGGCAATCTGTCAAACCATGTAAACATTCAGCTGGTGTGTTTAACACTAAAACCATACAATTGCTAAAAGTATTACAATAACTACCAAAAAATACCACACAAACAAAGATTATTTGAAATATAATGAACTAACAATTCAGCAGATTTATCTACTTGTCTTACATAGAACATGTTAGGCTAGCCAAGACTCAAAGAATGAATGACACTGGTGTGCTCAGTGGCTGCGTGGTTAAGCACATGCCCAATGCAGTGATCATGATCAATTCCTGACTGTACTGATCTGTACTGCATGTCATTCACCCAGTCTCTCTCCCCTTCACTATCCACTCCACACTACCCTGTCCATTAAAAGGCAAAAAACCCCACAGAAAATCTTTTTAAAAAGAAAAATGAATGACACTCCAAGAAACCTACCATCTGGATTTGGACCTTGTGCGAGACAAATCTCGAGCACACACAGGTTTTGTTTTTCCATAAGGAAATCAAAGACCTCCTCATCAACCTCAGTCTTTGTGGTGTCGTGTATCAAAATGATCTTTAGGACATAAAGACAAACAACTTCTCTCATTAAGAAGTTTATTTTAGAATTTATAATAAAATACTACTTGGCCAATGATCTGTTGGATTGAGAGCCACAGTCAGCCGAGTGCGGTTACTCTGTCTTTCTCGCCCCAAAAAGAGTCCTGATTCAAAGTTACAAGAGGTTATATTAGTTTTTTCATTAAGCAATGTGGAATAGGTGACTATATGATGGACGCAACCGTCGTTTAGACTTGGCGCATCCCTTTGTTGGTGCTCAGACTGGTCCCAGTCTCTGTGGGCGGGGGGAGCCACATGACCCAACCAATTCCGAGAGACAGCGTCCCTAAAATAAAATGAATTTATTCCACCCTGGCTGCCTCTCTTCAGTATGATCTGAGTCATTGTGTTGAAACTGGAGCTTGGATGGTCAGCGCTGGGTGCTTGTTCGTGCCTTGGAGATCTCCTCCTCCGGCAGCGTGTTTGCAGCTAGAGTGTCTACAAAACTGAGATGAGACTATTGTTCTGTGTTTTTTACCTTGTGTGTGATTAGCTTTAAGAAAATACAGGGGCTTTCACATCTATGCGTAATAAAACTTATACTGAAATAACTAATCCCTAACAGTGGCATCAAAGACTCTTAAGTCCAAGGTTGGGATGCTGAACTTCTTGGCAGCTGTGAACATAAAAAAAAACTGCACTTAAACCTAAATTTAAAATAAACGCCAGAACAAGGGAAATTTAATAAATTAAGCAATATAAACCTCAACAGCTAAAGGTATATCTTGTCTTTATTAATGGTTAATTAATATCTGCACCATCCCCCCATATTGACGGATTCAGTATGTTTAGTGTGTTAAATTGTGTGAAACTCATTAGGTTTTCCACTCACCACATTCCAGAAACGATGTGTAGGTCACTTGGCCCTCAAAGCAGAGGTACTACATGACATGAAAAGGTTATTTTTATTCGCATTTGCACATTTATAATCCATTGTCCACCTTGACTTATTCCATTTTTATTTTACACTCATACGTTGTCTATGCTGCTCTGATTATGTACATCCGTGTGAACAAAATAATGTCAAACTCTATATAGCAGCAATAAGTTAAGTACATGACATGTCTATAAGGTTTGCATGATGCTAATTTAACGCACTGGCCCTGAACGAATGTCAGTAGTTGCTAACCAAACTGCAGATAAAAATAGCAGTAAAACACATGTCCTTGCTAATTGAACAGCAGAGCGAAAACGGTCAATGTACAGGACTCAATTCAGAGTAGAACACACATGTTTGCTAACCGGGAAGCAGGTGAATTAAAACACACAGTCTTGCTAACCGAGTATCAGGTGAAAGCCGTCAATGTACAGGACACAATTCAGAATAAAACACACAAGCTTGCCAACCACATGCTTACTAGTCGGACAGCATGTGAAACAAAACCCATGTGCTTTCTAACCTTGCGCTTGCTAGCCGAACAGGAGGAGAAAACGGTCAATGTTTTTTTGTTTTTTTTAAGAAAACCGTCAATGTACACCATTCAATTTAGAGTAAAGCAGGAGAAAACGGTCCACAACCAAGACTGGTCCATAAAAAAACCAAACCGAAGCTTGCTAACCAAAGAGCAGGTAAAATGGTCGGTGTTCATACTGAGTGTAAGACATTGACTAAGCAAAAGCTAGTGTTAGCAATGACCTTGGCAATTGTGCAGTGCGTAAAACCCACAAACTCTGAAGAACAAAATTCTGCTGACATTTTATCCTAATAAAATCGATATTTATTTAGTACTTTGCAGACTTACCTGGCTCACCGCCGTCCACCGCTGCCGTTCACCTCGACCTTCCACTGCGGGGGGCAGAAACGAAACTTAACAAACATTAGTAGGCGTGTTCTTAATATTACTCCAATCAGATTTCCTCTGTTTGTATATATATATATATAATATATATATATATATAATATCGTTTTTCCTGTGTAGGCGGACTGGAGTGGGTCCATATGAGGTTTGACCATGGGCCGCAGCTGATCTAAGACAAGTCTCTCCAGGGTCTTCATAATGTGTAAGGTCAATGTCACTGGTCTGTAGTCCTTGGAGCCACTGGGACATGGTGCCTTTTTAGCACAGGGACAAGGCAAGATGTTTTCTGCAGCACAGGGACCCTTTGAAGGCTCAAGTTAAAGACATGGTGAAGCACTCCATATAGCTGGGGGGTAGAGGTGTTATGCACCCTTAACCTTAGCATACAGCAAGTCTAGTGACTATCTAGGATGATAACTCACATACTTGGTGAAGCTAGGTACTGTTGTTGCCATGGTGACGTGGTTGAAGAAATTTTTAATGTGTGTTTGTGTGAGAGAGAAGTACTTTGATGATATGTATTTGAGAGTTAGAGGTTATCTAAAAAAGCAAGATCTGAAAAAAGTAAATAGACATACTTCTATTTGTTTCAATGGCCATTAAAACCCATTGAAACTACTGGAGAGTGGCCCCTTCAGCTAATGTTTTCACCTGCTGTATGACTAATAATAGGTGTGTGCAACTTTTTTTAATATGGAATATATAGATAGGAGCCCGTTGCATGTGTGTACTGAAAATAACTAAGATCCCTCCA